CGTCCCTGTTCGTGAATTTTCAGACCTTTGTTAACATCACCATCATTACTAATTCTCTGTATAGAGTAATTGGGCAGTCGCGAATAACATGTTTAACCAATTTACCCATTTTAGAGTTGAACCCACTTTTGCACACCGAAAACCAGTTGTCAACAAGCGCATGGTCAAATGAATCAAAATAAAGCAATAGGGTGCACTCAGTGATGCATATACGCTCAGACGACTTGTTCTCACAGGACTCGCTAATCAACCTTACTCCGAATGATGCTTAACCTCAAAAATATTTTTGAGCAACGCACAAACTCTTTTTAGATTGGAACGCATTGTAAGCACATACGGGTGTGTCATAGTTATTCGGTGTAACTTTTGATGTTGATGCGTTAAAAAGATCTCATCCGTCGCATTTGCCAATAAATCTTTTTTTCTTTCCCTTCGAAATTATCCACCACTTCACTCCATACTGTGCATACCGCATGCCTTCTTTTTAACAACTACCTCGACGGAGCCAATCGCCGTTGTGCCGGCACTATGGAATTAACCGCTAGCCCATTCATTGTCCGGTGACAATCAGAGAAAGATCATTTTATTAGGGTAGTGCGGGTGTCATGATGGACGGGAGATAGCCGAAAATCGAAATAAAAGAATTTAAGTATCTAAAAAATAAAACAATATCGTACACATCCGGTTGAATAATCTAAATCGAGTAAGAAATACCAGAATACAATATGTCGTGTAGAATAACACACATGCACCCCATATTTTTTTATTTTTTTTTTTTTTTCTTTATTAACAAAAAAAAAGGCTATGTGGAATGGTAAATTTTTTAATTTAACGTTCACCCAGATATCAATCGTACATTATCACCCGCGGAACTCTATCATTGCGACCACCCATCTTACCCTCTCAACACGCAGGGCACACCGTTATTCGATTAGGTCTTTCATTTCACCACACCTTTTTTTACTCCCTTTTAATTATTGCATACTATTATATGTGATAACATATACAGTATATACATACATACATACATACATACATACATACATACATACGTATATATGTACATATACATATATATATATATATATATATATATATATATATCCGTATTCATAACGAACATTTTACCGTTAGGTATTGTCGATGATAATACCATTATTGATTAAATTTTTTGTATGAGCTCATTATTGATTATTTATCATATGTATATCATTGAGGTTACCGTTCTCAGCTTAATTTACGAACGTACATGAGTATATAATAATTCCTTATTCTCTTTATCCAGACATCATTCAAGCAGGTCACAATTGTGGCCACCCCATTTCTTAAAAAAAAAAAAAAAAATTTTTTTTTTTTCTTTTTTTTTTTTTTTTTTTTTTTGCGAAAAGAACCCCGTTTCTATTTTTAGTCCGCCCGGTAACATCACCTTCTATATTCAATCACCTCGCACATGATATCATCCCATGCACTTGTCTACTCGACTAATTATTAATCATCCAAATGGTCTCAACATTAAAAATACGATATACATATCTATTTCCGTCTGGTGTAATCTCATACATAAATTTTGGAAATGTGCGGTGTTTGCGTATGTTATATTACATCGTATTCAATAAAGATGGTTGCCTGATCCTAGGCGAACTCGATAAATTTTATGATCACGGATGAGTCAAATAAGTTTTCTGATCTTAGAAAAAATGTCGGTGCTTTAATTATTAAAGAGCGTCGCAAATATTCTATTTCAAAGATCCTTTATTAAAAATTATTGTAACAAATTATTATATAACAAATATTTTTGATTTTTTAAAAAAAATTTTTTTAAAAAAATTTTTACATATAATAGTTTGTTTTTTTATGAATTATTATTATTATTTTTTTTTTAAAAAAAAAAAAAAAATTATAATTTACAATTTACAATTTAAAAAAAGACTCCACACATAGTATCAATTGATTATTAATCGAATCAAAAATTTTCTCTTCGGAAATGAAATCACTGATCACAATAGTTTTATAAAATTATATTTTTTCGACAATTCATTGATAAATTAATTTTTTTCAGATTAATAATTATTAATCAAATAATTATTTAATCAAATAATTCATCATTTTATCACTCACTATTGACAGGTGAATGGCGGAAGTCTGTTGCAAACATACGGTTTATTGCGCATTCGTTATGGTATTATTGTCGGTGATATTATTTGAGAAATAGATGCATCAGAAATATACGGTGAATTCGAAATCTTTTAATTGGGAAGCCAAGAAAATGATTCATTCATATTATTAATCATATTATTAATCATGATCATGCAACAGATACTTACACTATTATTATTACTTTTTTTTTTGAAAATAATAGTAATGATAATAATTTATGTGAAAAGTGCGTCATGTTTAAAGAAGGAATAATGTCTTTGATTGCAAAGCGTTGTAACAAGTGGAAACATGTGCAAAATAAAGGGACCGTTTGTGCGTAAAACCGAATCGTGAGTTGGCGTAAGCTGTCAAAATCTGGAAGCTGTTCATCTGTTTCAATTATTGTCAACGTTAGATCCATTGTTGAAAGTTAATCGAGTGAGACCAAGCAACTTCTTATACTAAAATAGCAAAACCGTAAGGAAATTGAGTCGCTAACTATTGTAACGGTGTGTTGAAGTGTGAGCATCCATCGGAAGCAGTTGTCAGTTTTACATACATACATATAAACAAACAAACAATAACTCATTCTCCTATTTTTTCAATGCTCGGTTCGTTTTTTTTTTTTTTTTTCTACTGCGCGCGTGAGCAGAATACACAATACTTGATTGTTCCGATATTCACAATGATACCACCGTATGTGATTTCTAATAATAATAATAATTCAAGCAATAATGAAAATTGTGCATATTTAAATGTGCGAACATAAAAGGTACACCGATACGTGGGAATAACTTACCGGTGAGAATAAATTGTGACCAAAAAAAAAATTTTATCAGGGTCACGTTTGGGGTGAGGTGACTCTAGGATGGATAGGTGCCAAGAAGATTTATGCGCGTGGAATAGAGTTTCCTTGATAATGTAGTTCAATCTAATCAAATACTTCAAAAAGCATGTTTCAGAGTTCCTACGCACTGTACGCACACGTAAAATTATACATATCACTATTAGCGTGGTACAGTGCGATATAATAATAATAATAGTAATAATAATAATAATAACCTTAAACCACTTAATTGGTGTTATACTAGCACGTTAAACTTTAGCATACATGCATACCATTAACGCACCGCATTCCCCACAAAATAACCATCCTTCTATCACCATCATCTTGTCCAACATCATTTTTTGACAACAATATACAACAATTCAATCAACCCATTTTTTTTTTTTTTTTTAACCATCTGTGACCGGAGACACTCCGTTCTGCTAAAAATGATAGCATGAATAAGACAAGTTTAATGACGATGTTATGTGGTGGTGTCAATCGAACGCAAAACGTACATACGTACCTACGTGCTACCACGACACAATAAATTGCTCCCGAATTACCACCCCTGAACATCAATTTTCGTGAAAACTTTCACAAAAAAAAAAAAAAAAAGAATAAAGATAGGGCCACGATCCCGATTATCGTTTATGATGCCCTATAATGAATTCCCATCATTCATCTCGTAGTCCTTTTGGTGCACATCATCGGGTTTTTCATAGTTTGAGTCGAACGTCGATCAGTTGCTTAATTATTTGATTATTGCAACTGATTGTTGTTAATTTGGGGGTTAGCTCCTGAGCGGTGATGTTATAAGGTCGAATCACATTCTCTTTAGGGAGAATTTCATTTGAAGTCGGTCTCACACATCACCTGATTGTTTCCTGCACGAAGGTCATCAACACCATCGTCACCGAGTCATCAATTCCATGACGAAAATAAAGGAGTGTGTGAGTCTTACGATATTAAATAATCATCCCTTTTCATTCAACAAATGAATCGATAGTCCGTCTTATCACCCGTAAATCATTCTTGGAAGTCATCAATTTCAATCGGATATTACCACAATACATCATAATGCAAGCTTTGTTCGATGAATGACTGACAGCAGCGGCATCGCAGCTCATCAGTTAAATGACAATAATACCTAGTCGGTCGTAAATCTATCTTGTTCTGAAAATGGTATAAATTGAAATTTTGGTTAGATCACTATGAGCATTACGAAATTATCTGCGTGAAATGAGTCGGTCGTATGTCAATTACTGTGGTGTTGGATTTCACATACCGTGAAATGAATAAATAAATAAATAAATGTGTAAATGATTGATTGAAAATAGGTAAATTGGTAAATGGATGGACGCACTTTATAACCGCAGAATTCTTTTTTTTTTTTCTTTTTTAAGTAAAGGACGACAAAAAAGTAGAGGATCGATTAATATGTAATTTGTGAAAGGAAATTGAATTTTAATTCGATTGTCGATGACATGACAGGCTCGTAAACATTAAAGTACGACAGGTACAGTATCTCGAACCTCGACATTGTTAAATCTGTCGTCCCCGGTATTGTTGGTGTCAATTTGGTTAGAGATTGATGAAAGGGTAAACCTGTGTGATCTTGTAACGCTGTCGAAAAAGGGCATGGCTCTGCAGTCACCGCTTTCCAATGTAAACAACAAATGCTCGATCGCGGTGAGCTATTGTTCATTGATCTTTATCGGCAATTATCATCATCCATTGTTAGAAAAATTCCCCTTTCCACCATTCCCCCCCCCCCACTTCACTTCATGATATCTTGATTTGAGTATGTGTCATGTTACCATAAAATAATAAATAGTAAATATTAAATGGTTGACAACAGAATTATAGAAAGCTCCCAGGAAGATGTTTAAACAGGAAAGACTCAGAATAGGGAGTTCGTCGTTTATAAGGAAACAGGGGTGCGAATCAATCATCGGTAAATTTGATCTTCCCAAAAAGTCGTAACCAGCAAGGAAAAAAAAAAAAAAAAAAAAAAAAGCTGGCAAATTCGAGAAAAATGCATCACACATCGGTCGATCGTCACGCAACCCTGAAACACTTGGCGCAGGCGCGGGATACCTGCGAGATGGTTCGATTGCGAGGTCTAGAAAATTCCATGAGAAAGTTATCATCATTAAAGAAGTTAGGGAGAGACACGAGATCGTACATGCATTTGCGTTTTTATTGTTTTAGGTGTGAATGCGTTGAAAAGATAAGATGGTTCACATACTGTATAGGAACGGTCAAATCATTGTTACCTCATCCTTCCGCTCTCTCGAGAATTTCACCCATCATTATTCGCTCCCCCACACCAGAAATTACGAGCAGCATACAACCATCCCCGCTGAATGTCTCCCAGCGCACACAC